TCTCCTCCTTCTCCTCCTCCTCCTCCTCCTCGTCCTCTCCTCCTCCTCCTCATCCTCCTCTTCATCGTCTTCCCGCTTCCACCCCTCTCCTTCCTCGTCGCCGCCGCCGCCAACGTCGTCGCATCGTCGTAGTGTCGCCGTCGTGTCGTCGACGCCGTCGTCGTTTCCGCCTCAGGGCTGAGGCGGGCGGCGGCTTGAAGGTCGCCCACTGGCGGAGCTTGGCCTGGGCGACCCATGCGCTGGTCCCCTCGCCATAGAACGTCACGAGATACGGCTTCGTGTCCTCTGGGAGGGCGACGGGGCCCATCTCCCGCCTTCCTCCTCGTCGTCCTCCTCCTCCTCCCCCTGCTTCTCATGTGTTCGTTCTCCCCCTTCCTACCCCTCCCCCCTACCCCTACCCTCCTCCTCCTCCTCCTCCTCCTCCTCCTCCTCCTCCTCCTCCTCCTCCTCCCCCGCGTCCTCCTCCTCAGGTTCCTACCTCAAGTCTTCCCTCTCCTCCCCCTCTTCCTTTTCTCTCTCGGCCCCCCTCTCCACCCTGTCCTCCGCATCCTCCCTCTCGCTCGACCAGCGCACCCCCAGGGGCAGGCCTTCCCAACGCGACCCCGAGAAGTTGGGCTCGGTACGAGGAGGCCCCAGGAAATAAACCCAGGAGGTTGAGAAGCGGGGAGGGGAGGGAGGAAGGCCTGGAGCCCCCAAAGAGGCCCTGGGGGCCTCCAAAACGCCGCCAAGGAGCCCCAAGAGACTCCCAAGAGGTCCCCAAGAGGCCCCCAGGAGGCCCTAAAGAGGGCTCCAGGGCCGGCGGCATGAGCGAAGCGATTAAATAAACCCAGGAGGTTGAGAAGCGGGGAGGGGAGGGAGGAAGGCCTGGTGAGGCGTTGAGGTGATGAGAAGGAGGCATACGTGAGAGTATTTGTTGGGGGGCGGAGGAGGGATGTGGTGGGGGGGAGCGGAAAGAGCAGGGTGAGGGCAAGACGCCAAGGGGATGTCGATGAAGTCTCTGCACGCCCACCTGGATCCGATGAGGAGGGGCATGCGTACAGTCATGGTCCAACCTCACTGTAGAGAGGGGGAGGAGACCACGGTATGAGCGTGGAGAGGAATGTTCCAAGCAAGTTCCAGGAAAGCGACGACGAACGTCCATTAGCCGACTTTACTGCTGTAACCGACTCTGCTCAACCTCGAGGACTGCCTTCGGGGGCCCCGACGGGTGGGGAAAGCGACCCGACTTAATTCTCGCAGGTTCTGCTTGCCCTTGCGGTTTGGGCAACACATGATGATCAAACCGATCTTGCTGCTAAACCTCGCCCAGCCCCATCCCTGTTCCAATCCCACCATAACATCGACCGTCTTGCGTAAGGAACGACCGGCCGACCGACCGAAGCGGAAAGACGAGGACGTACGGAAGGTCCGTGTCGTGCCGACTTCGGAGATGGCCTCGGACACCGCGGGGATCGTTTAACCTTGAATAATCGGCAATTTGCGAAACGTCAGATCGTTCAACATGGACCGATTCTGGGTCGCCAGCGGCGTTCAACGTGGAACGCCAACGGCGGGGTCGCCGCCGGTCGACAGGACGCGAACCTGCCGTGGGAGATGGAGGCACGAGGATGAGAGAAAAGCCTGAGGGGGGATGAGGAGATGAGGAGAGAGCGTGTACGAAGGAATTCAAGCAGGCATCGAGGCTTCGGGTCCGCTCTCGACTCGAAGTTCACGGCCTTGATATGGACAGGCCAGGCGGGCCCATAGCCCAAGCACCACGCCCGCTGCCCTGCGCTGAAGGTGAGACCGCCCTCCACCGACAGGGACCGGTTGCACCTCAGAGTCACAAAACCGCTTCGACCCTAACCTTCGCTGGCAAGACCTGCCTGGTTTGCCATTTTACTGGAGGCCTGGAAATGGGCACCAACACCAACACAGGGGGTTGCCTCCACAGGGGGAAATGATCCTAGGTTTCAGTGTTGGTGGTAATATTTCGGTCACCTTAAAAGCCATGGTACTACCACCATCACCGAGATCAAGATCTTCGTCCCTCGGTGGAGACGCACCGCCGATATTGGTGGTGGTGTCAACCTGTAGGCCTGCAAATATTTCAGGCCCTTTGCGGATCCTCCGAGCCTCTGGATTTAGCCACACCACGCCATGGCACCGACCACCAGCTCTCCTTCATTAGCAGCGCACGCGAGGCGGGTGGGAGGGGCGAAGGGGACTGCCGTCCAAGAGTGCACAGGGGCCTTTCAAGTGCCGCCGTGCCTGAGCGTTCTTTGACCGACCCCTATCCCCATGGACGTGGCCTGGGCCCCACTGGCCGATTATCCCTCTGGATGGGGATGTGGGCCGTTCCCTTCGGACTTCGAGGGGTAGATCCTAAAATTGGGGCAGTAAAGTTGTAGGGCGCATAGGGGATGGGGTTAAGGATCACTTGACGATACTGACGTTCCTCGTGAGTGAACATCTCGGAACCCTCCCCAACACATTCCGCGACATGCACGGTTTCACCCGGGGCCGTAGGAGGAGGAGGGAGAGGTGGAGGAGGAGGGGGAGGAGGAGGAGGAGGAGGAGGAGGAGGAGGAGGAGGAGGAGGAGGAGGAGGAGGAGGAGGAGGAGGAGGAGGAGGAGGGAGGAGGAGGAGGAGGAGGAGGAGGAGCAGGAGGAGGAGGCGGAGGATGGAGGAGGAGGGACGAGGAGGAGGAGGAGGAGGAGGAGGAGGAGAAGGGGAGGAGGAGAAGGAGGGGCAGGAGAAGGAGGAGGATGAGGAGGCGGAGGAGGCGGAGGAGGACGAGGAGGGGGAGGAGGACGGGTCGCCTAACCCCTTCGGAGAAACCCTCCACCATGACACACCCGTGCCTTAACCGAAGGCCACCTTCCGAACGGCGCCCCCCTCATCCTCTCCACCCGGTCGGCTCTGGAAAACCTTATGGGCGCACCCGTGCTCATCTCTCTTGTTAGCGTTTTATCATCCGGCGTTCCGACATTAGGGCGGAACGGGGGGGTGGAGGGGGGAGGTCTGGCTCCAGGCTTCTGCTTAGTGCGACTGTGTGCAAAGAGTGCTGCCTCTGGCGGTGACTCCACCCGCTTGAAACAGGCGCCAAACAACACCCAATATCTACTCCACCTGAGGGGGGGGGAGGGTGGGGGGGCCGCGCTGATTGGCAAAACAAGGAACAAAAAACGATCACCTTGAGGGGGGCACGTTTCGCTTTTCACTTCCCGCCCAACTTGCGCTGGGATTCCGAATGTGTTATGATGGATGCCCAATGATTGGGGGCCCAAATCCAGTGCGGTGACAGACCGTGCGGTGGCCTGGAAATCCCCCACAAATCCCACCGCACGGTCCGTTACCGCACCGTTTGGGAAACTCGGAGGCCCCAGCCGCCCGAGACATTCTCGGTGGTGGACATAAGTCACCCTTTAATGAAAACGGCCTAGGACCGAAACCGACGGACCTGGACCCGCAAAAATGACGGCCGCCGCGACGCCCTCCCGCGAACCGAAAACGGCCAATTCGCTAATCGACGTGTCAGGTTAGGAGGTCTACCAACCTCCGACATTCTCGGAGGGTTACCCGAGTCCCGAACACCTGCGGTCACCTGAAGCTCCACGGACTCACCACACGATGTGGTCACCGCACCGTCCGGGGACCACCGAAATGCCACCGGGGCCTGCCGCCTTCCCTGGTCCTGGATGCCGCACTGTCGGGGCTTTCTGGTGGTCGCTGGGACTCCTGAGGGCTCCTATCAATTTTCGCGGCCTTCCCCCAACGTGTGTTGCCGCTCCCCTCACTGTCCTCCTCCTCCTCCTCCGCCTCCTCCTCCTCCTCCTCGTCCTCGTCCTCGGACGCCTCTTCCTCCTCCTCCTCCTCCTCCTCCTCCTCCTCGTCCTCGTCCTCGTCCGCGTCCTCGTCCTCCTCCTGCTCCTCGTCCTCGTCCTCCTCCTCCTCCTCCTCCTCCTCCTCCTCCTCCTCCTCATCCTCCTCCTCCTCCTCCTCCTCCTCCCCCCCCACTGGCCCAGTGTGCTGCACTCCCTGGTGTCCGCTCGAGCCCCTGGTTTCTCGTGGATTCCCATGGAAGGGTAGATGTGGGTGCGTTGGCTCGGGACTCCATGAACACGAGGTTCCACACGCATCGGTGTCCACACGCACAGACATCCATAGAAATCAAAAAAAACACCCCCATAATAACCACCCCGACACGTGCACTCGTTTAGTAAAGCGCCCAAAGACGGAATCAAGCAAAACAATGCTGTTTATATAGTGAACGCCTAAAACTGTTTAGTAAACGCCAATTGTCTGGTCCGGGTGATTTTTCCTCCCTTGAATCCACGCGCACAAAGTTCTACACATAATGGCCCACGCGCATTGCACAGAAATGTAACAACATGTCGCTTGCGACCCATTGGCTGGCGCCATTTGACCCACCGCTTTCCTCGGATCTTCCCCTGGTTTCCAGCGAGAGAGAGAGAGGTCAACTTCCTTGATGCATCTCGTAGGAAGGGCCCTCGAAGACCCCGGCTTGTGCCCCGGGATCTGGTACTTCACCCCGTGCAGTTGTTTGAGGATCCCAGGGCCCAGAAACTGCGCCTGGACGACAAATCTCGCCCAAGACAAAAGATACGTTGCTTCGGGCGATCCCTGCCAGGGGGTTGCTGCAGATCTGGTTTCGACATCTGTCGTGTAAGACTCTTCAGCGTGATATGTGACATCATTGCTGATGCGTGGTTGTTGCGCATCGTGTGCATGCTTGAAACGTGCGCACGTTTGATACTGTGCTACAGATGCGCGTTCGTTATATGTGTGAGATGCAGTTATGCTACACGATTACTTGTTAATGCAAAGTCCAGGCGCTGGTTTGTTGTGAAAAAGTGTCTGTGTGTCACACATGCCTGTTGAGACGCATGTGGTTCCCATGGTAATATAATGCGTGTCAAATCAGTAGTTTTGTTACGGGCGTGTTTTCGTGAGTGGTATTGAAGCCGCGTCATGCATTGCATCATTGGTATCTGGCGCTTGTGTTGGAAATAGTGTATATACATATACGTATATGATGTTGGTGTATGCTATTGGCGTGCGTTATGTGTATTTGCACTTGTTGCGTGCTGTTGAAGATTATGCAGATGGTCCCTGTTCCCGGTCTGCATTGTGGTTGTTTGTTGCGACTGCATGTGGTTGATGTGTGTTCATGCTTCCTGGGCCAGGTGTTTATTCAAAATGTATGGTTGTGTGTGGTCACTGCTGTGGAATTGATGTTCTGCGTTACCAACGCGCGGTTGAGACATATTACCAATGTACTTGATGGGCGCGTATTAATGATGAGCATGGTTTATGTCGTCAAATATTGCTGGACGTTCGTCATGTGTGATCTTGATGTGCGTTACCGTTGTCTGCTCCTGGTGACTGACATTGACGTCCACAATGTTTACTTGGCCGTGATGTGTGAACTTGTTGGCAATCGTTGGTGACTCCCCACCGTGTCCCTTATGAACGACTGCTCTCTGGTGTGCGCTCTTGGTGTAGAATATGTGTATGCTACTGGCGCCTGTCATCGATGCGTGCTCGTGATGTGTCACTGATGCATGCTCATGCCGCGTGGCACCGATGTCAACCCTTGATCCATGCTCTTCATGTTTGCGGACGGCGCGACGACGTGACGCCTAGACTTGAGCAGGGACCGACCGTACTGGCATAGCCTACCACGAACTGTTCTTGGAAACAAGATGTTCTAAACAACAACAACAACAACAACAACGACAACAACAACAACACCAACAACAACAACAGTGTTCTCATAACAGATGCCCGATGCGTTAAAGCAAGACTGTCTCAGCTAGAAGTGTTCTGGTAACATTCCGTGCAGACCGCAAAAGGTTCTCAGAACATCCTCTGGTGGGCCTATAGTTAGGCGAGCCAACGCGCTTCACCACTGCTTGATGGACGGCTCCCCGGTGGGGCCCGGCGAGGGCGGGATCCCAGGAGACCGCCTGAGACTCCCAGGGACCTCTCTCAAGGGCCTGGCGGCCGCTGCATGCCCTTTTCTGGCGAGGCGGGTCGAGAGCTCGTGCCTCAAGGTTCGGTCGGGCGTGTCGTCCTGCAGGCGGACTTTTGGACAAAAAATGAGAGTTATCCCGGCAAAGCAACCTAACAGCGATATGTAGAAGCATATCTGAAAGCATTCCCCTTAAGATTCAGATGACAATCCAGTTGTAGAATTCTGCTGTTCTCGCAGTCGTAGTCGCATTCGCGATGACAGTCGCAGCGGCAACGGCAGTCGCAGTCACAGCCTCAGCCTCAGCCTGCCTCAGCCTCAGCCTCAGCCTCAGCCTCAGCCTCAGCCTCAGCCTGCTTCAGCCTCAGCCTCAGTCTGCCTTCAGCCTCGGCCTCAGCCTCAGCCTGCCTCAGCCTCAGCCTGCATCAGCCTCAGCCTCAGCCTCAGCCTGCCTCAGCATCAGCCTGCCTCAGCCTCAGCCTCAGCCTGCCTCAGCCTCAGCCTCAGTCTGCTTCAGCCTCAGCCTCAGTCTGCCTTCAGCCTCGGCCTCAGCCTCAGCCTGCCTCAGCCTCAGCCTGCCTCGGCCGCAGCATCAGCCTGCCTCAGCATTCAAAATGTGGCCCAGGAATGGAGTTCTGGGAACTAGAAGAACACGAAGTGGCCTACAGTTGGCTCCGGGCATTCAAAATCATGCCCAGGAATGGAGTTCTGGGAACTTGAAGAGCACGAAGTGGCCTACAGTTGGCTCCGGGCATCCAAAATGTGGCCCGGGAATGGAGTTCTGGGAAATCGAAGAGCACGAAGTGGCCTACAGTTGGCTCCGGGCATCCAAAATGTGGCCCGGGAATGGAGTTCTGGGAACTCGAAGAGCACGAAGTGGCCTACAGTTGGCTCCGGGCACTCAAAATGTAGCCCGGGAATGGAGTTCTGGGAGGTCGAAGAGCACGAAGTGTGTGACTGTTGACGAAAAACGAGCCCGGCTCTGTTCCCGGTTCTCCAGAATGTGGCCCGGGAATGGAGTTCTGGGAGGTCGAAGAGCACGAAGTGTGTGACTGTTGGCGAACAGCGAGCCCGGCTTTGTTCCCGGTTCTCCAGAATGTGGCCCGGGAATGGAGTTCTGGGAGGTCGAAGAGCACGAAGTGTGTGACTGTTGGCGAAAAACGATTCCCGGTTCTCCTCCCCGGCACCCGCCCAGACCCCCCTGAGGAGTCATGATGCTCTCTTTTGACCCCACTAGAAACCTATCAGCAAACGCTGTTAGGTAAATAGTGCCAAAACATATTCGAAAATAATCAAGAAGCAGTACACACATCGTCCCCAGACTATCTTTTGACCATGTTCGGATTTTCCTCCTGTAGGGGGACACGCCCGACTTAATCTCAAGGTCTGGCAGCGCCGACCTGGCGAGGAGGGAAACCACCACTCTGGCGCGATTTGCTCGGTCGTCGGAGGCTCCCCTCGGTGGTGGACAAGCCTCCCTTTAGTAAACCGCCCTGTAGTGAAAACGGCCGAGGGACCGAAACCGACGGACCTGTGGGCCCGCAAAATTGACGGCCGCGGCGCCCTCTCGCGAACCGAAAGCGGCCAATTCGCTAACCGACGTGTCAGGGTAGGAGGGCGATCAACCTCCCAACAATTGCATCAGAGGAACCCTGGGAGGGGTCCGGGGACGACTTCGAGCAGATGTAATCCCGCACCCTCCTCCCGGACAGCTATCCTTGGGGCCGCTCCAGCTCAGACGTGTTCAGACCCCGTGCCGCCTAATCGTGGAGGGAGGGAAGACACGCCAATCGACGTGTCCGGGCAAAAGGTCTGCCCGCCCCCGATCCCGGAGGCCTGTGCCGCCCGACCCCGCCGCCGACCGATCTCGATCGGCCGGATCGGCGGCCCGCCCGAGCCCCGACCGGCACCTCCTGAGGGGCGCGCTCCCGGCACGAAGAGAAGGCGTACCGGCCCGCCTTGCCGGCCAGGCCGGGGGTCCACAGTGAAGGGAAGCCGTCACCAGAACGAGGTCGGGCCTGGCCCTCTACAGGGAGGATCGTCAAACATAGTTTTTACACATTATCTGGGGAGGAGGATTTGTTTTGACTATTTCTGACCATTTGGGAGCATGCTTTGAATTTTTTCATTTTTCGTCCAGAATCCGCCAATAGGGGGACATGCCCGACCTAACGCCAGGATCCACATGCGGTTGAGCTTGATTGGAGAGGGCACGCGAGAGCAAGCGAGACGCTTCCTATGCCAGCGTGCCTCCGGAACGAGAGCTCTGATGCTCCGCGGGTGCAGAAGACACGAGACGCGAGGCGCAGGACATAAGGGTGCCCTTGATTTGGCAGGGTCAGAGTAACTACTGTTCAAATTCTACTGCAGTGGGCGGAGCTCCTCTTTGGCTTAAAAAGAGAGACTTGGCACACGAGGATCGACAGAGGGTACCCTTGATTTGGCAGGGTCGAACTCCTCTCAGGTCGGGCATGTCCCCCTTACAGGCGGATGTTGGACGAATATGTTTGAAACATAGTCAAACACTAATCAACAATAGTCAAACACTGCTGAACAAAGTGTCCCCCATATTACTATTTACCATTTTGGAGATCCCCCCTGTAGAGGGACAGGCCCGACTTAAAACGACTGTACTGAAGGGAGCGGAGCTCCTTCTCGGCCCCCCCAAAAAGCCTGGGCACATGAGGATCGATAGGGGAACAACGACGAAGGACCTGCTGAGCAGCGAACCCCTTCCAAAGCAAGAATGTTCCTTACAGTGCGGACGCGGCCGCAAGAAACCCTCGCAAGAAACCCAGCCCTGAAACCCCGCGCGCAAGATGCTCACGGGGGGAAGCCTGGAGCACCCTGAACGCAGCAGCTTCTCCAACGGCTGCGGGAAGTCATAGCGCAGCGCGCCGAGCGAAGAAATCAGGATACCCTGACGAAAAGCATATGGCTTCTTGATGCGTACCCCCACTGTATGTCCGTCTTGGCTGTAGCCCCTGAAGGGGTTATTGTCCACATCGCATCCTTTTTGGATCTCTGAAGCTGGTTTCGGGCCCTGTGGGCGTCAAAACATGACCCGGGATAAAACCCTTGTCCCCGTGATCGAGTCTTGATGTCTGGGGGCCCACGGCCCGTAACAAGTGTGAAGACGGACGTGAAGGGAGAACGGGCGGACGATGTGGGAGACTGGGGCCTGTTGCGCAAGCCGAGAATAGCTCCTCCGTCATTTTTCCGAGACGACGCCTTCTCAGATTGCAGCTGGGTCCACCCGCCTCCTCCACCCTCCACCTGCCCCCACACCCCCTCCTCCTCCTTATCCTCTTCCTCCTCCTCCTCCTCCTCCTCCTCCACTTCCTCCACTTCCTCCACCTCCTCTTCCGCCGCCTCTGCTGAACCTGCTGCTACTGTTGCTCTTCTCCCCTCCACCACCTCATCTCCTGTGTCCTTCGCTCCCATTCCTCGTTGTCGCTATCGTCGTCCTCCTCCTCCTCCTCCTCCTCCTCCTCCTCCTCCTCATCATCATCATCATCATCATCCAAAACCACTCCGAAGCCTCCTTGCCCTCGTCGCCGTCCGACCTCCTCCTCCTCCTCCTCCTCCTCCGTTTCAACCTCCTCCTGCCCGCCCCCTCTCCGACGACGGCGACGGGGACGGCGGCGACGACGTCGGCGACGAGCGATGGCGAGAAGGTCGAAGACAACGACGGAGACGAGCGACGGCAGCGCTGACGGCGACTGAGCGACGGCAGCGATGACGGCGATGAGCAGCGATGGCGGCGACGGCTGGCGACTGCTTCCGGCCGCTGGCCTTGCCGCAGATGCTGCACTGGGGATCTGGTGACGCCTCGAAGGCGCGCAAGGGGGCCGCGACCCACCCCGCGACGCACCCGCGACCCAGCCCGCGACCCACCCCACGACCCAGCCCGCGACCCACCCGCGACCCACCCCGCGACCCACCCGCAACCTGGCCCGATCCTTCCTCCTCCATGTACATCCTCCTCCTCCTCCCCTCCTCCTCCTTCATCCCCATCCTCCCCTGTCATTGTTCCTCCACCTCCATCCACCTCCCTCCGCGTGCTCCTCCTCCTACTCCTCTTCCTTCGTTTCCCCTTGTCATCCTCCCCAATCGACCCTCTCCCCACCCCTTTCTCAGCCTGTCCCCGCCCCCTCCGGGTCGCGGGATGGGTCGCGGGTGGGTCGTGCGTGGGGCGCGGGTGGGTCGCGGTTGGATTGCGGGGTAGGTTGTGGGTGGGTCGCGGGCTGGGTCGCGGGTGGGTCGCGGGGTGGGACGCGGGTGGGACGACAACAAAACAAAACAAAACAAAAGTACAACAATAATCAACACCGCGGGAACCCACTTCAGCCACGCACCCTGGGACAGTGTAAGACCGTTTGCCCCGCCCACTCTGATTTAGAATAGATGTCACAATGAGCAGTATAACGATGACAAACAGGAGGATAAGGACTTCAGTGAGTTGTGGGCCCGGGCGGCTGAAGGAGGTTCTGACCAGTTTGGGAACGTTCCGGCGGAGGGTGTTTGGGTTGATGTCGTAGCAGGCGTGATGAGGAATCAATGGGGTGAAAGTAAGTTCGGGTTGATCTGGGACGGAGTGAGGGGGGAGAAGGAGGATGGGGATGATGAGTACAGTCCAGCGCATAGGGGGAGTTTTCGAGCAGGCCCACAGCCAAACAGTTTCGCAAAGTTCTCTGGCACGCCTGCGCTCTTGCACATGGAGTCGCAAAAATCAGATTTCGCAGCGCAACATCAAGGCAGTCCTCGGACAAATATAGACTATCATAGATGCGCTGGTCAGCACCAAGAGGAAAGCACGCTGAATACGCTCGGTACGCGGCTCGGGGGCGGCCCACACATGGGCGCGCAAACTGCTTGCATACGTACCAGCGCCCCAAGAATCGAACAACAGCGACAAATTCGGTGTATGGCGGGGTCAAGCTAAATTACGGTTTCTGCACGAGGAACGAGAACAGGAGGATCATGAGCAACCACAAGGACACTGCCCGAGCTTAGGAGCAGCTCTATCTGCACCACTCCTCGATCCCCTCCATTGTACTTATGCTGCTGATGTGCCTTCTCCCCCCCCTGCAGAAAGGAAACAATGATGAGGTGGACGGATGAGGATGAGGGGAGGAAGGGGAAACCTGGCGGGGCGCAGGAGGAGCAGTATCACTTAGGACGACGACCAAGAACTCATGACACAGTGTGCTGCCGCTGAGAGAGACTTCGGAAGGGACGATCAAAGAGCATCAATAACGACGTCGCCCACGAGCAGGTCGAGCACCCAAATTATCAATCATCGCCCCAGGCGCTGCTGCGTGACCCCCCCCACCCCCCAGAGTTACGCGTCGGACGGAAGAAGTGGGCAGACACATAAAGTAGGAAAGCGTTGGAATTAGATTGGGCTTCCGCCCACTCCCTGAGGAGGGAGTAAAAGGTGAAACGGCTCGATCATTGAAGTAGGAAGGCGCCTCGAGTAGATTGGGATCCGAAGTTGCACAAAGACCTGCTTCCAACGACCGGCGAGTACGCGACTGTCACCCTAATCCAAGGAGGGTCTGGAACAACACCTCCTCTCCTCACCTTCCAGATTGCTACTGGGCCGTGCTTCGCCTCCGCCCGCCCGTCCTCCTCCTCCTCCTCCTCCTCCTCCTCCTCCTCCTCCTCCTCCTCCTCCTCCTCTCCTCCTCCTCCTCCTCCTCCTACTCCCCCTCCTCCTCCTCCTCCTCCTCCTCCTCTTCCTCCTCCTCCTCCTGCCCATGTGGACACCACAGAGATGGCCTCCAACATCGCCTCCTCGAGTGCCCAAAGACTGCCCAGGCCAGAGAAGAGTTCACTAGTGAGGAGCTTGGTAGGTTGAAAGACCCGATTCCTGCCACCTCCCCGCTCCCCCTGGCACTGGTCTGGAGGCCGCTAAGTTTTCGTGTCGAAACCCTGATTTAAGGCCTGAGGAAGCGTTCACAGGTGATGTCTACATAAATGGTAGTTGCACGTGTCACGGCCACTATAACTTCAATGCTGCTGGGTTTGCCGTTGTGTGCATGGTGGATGGAGAGGAAAGAGCCACCTTTTATGGCCGCGTTGGGTCCCTGGGGGCCCAAACCTCGGGGGCCGCCGAGCACCTCGCCGCAGTTGCGGCAGGCAGGCTCCCGCCTCACCTCACGTTGACAAGATTTACCCGGATTATAAAGGGGTGTTACAGTTGCACGGCGAGGCTGGATACCCTCGTCGTAACCAATGGTCAGGTTGTAAAGTGCTCGCGGGCGGAGGCTACTTTGACCTCGGCCACAAACTCCAGAAAGTCAAGGCTCACCAAAATCTGGAGTTGCTTTCCCCCGATAGTGACGAATTCCGTCAAGCTAGCGGCAACGATGTCGCAGATAGGATTGCCAAGGCCGCCGCGAACCTTGGCAGTCAACCTAGTCTCGACGAAGTAGAGCAGTATCAGAAAGACACTGCTCTGCTGAAGAAATACCTTCGATATGTGTCCAAAGCCCTTGGAGAGTGGCCCGCGATAGCCCCTCGTCGCAACAAGGCGCTGGCCAAGCCCGTGCAGAACCTCTCCCCTCCCTCGGGGGCTGCCTCGACGTTGGCCTCCTGGGACACTGGGGCCCCGCCTTCCGTCCCTCCTCCCCCTCCGCCTCCTGTGGCCCCTCGCGAGACTCCGAGGCCCACATCTGGGCGATAGTGAATGACCAGCGCCGGTGCACGATTTGCCGCATCCGCGCCCGCACGTTCAAAGCATATGAGGAGCGATGCCGTGCAATGGATTGTCCTGGACACTGCCCCCAGATGTCCATCCAGCCTGGCCTCCAACCCCAGGGGGGCATACTTTGTTCTGTTACGAGCACCTCGAACAGCCAACAAGTTTCCTGCAAGTTTCCTGGTGTGCCACAAGTGTGGTTTGTTTAAGGAGGGCAATTCGAGTGGTTTGCCGGGTGATTGAGATTTGAGACCGCCCCATAATGGAGCTAAGTTGCAGCTTCAGGGAGCACAGTCTGGCCGTCACCCCAAGAGTGCCGCCGCCAGCCCGATTGTGCTCAGTCTCCCTCCCGTGCCGCTGACGCAGTTGCTCAGAGAGACAGCTCAAGCCCATGCGCAGACAGGCCCACACCAGGGATGAGGCTTGCCCACCGTCCTGGCGTTCTCTACACCAGGGGTGGGCAGTGCCGAGTCGTCCTGGCGTCGCCTCATTCTCTGTGTACTTGTGCGTGTGTGCGAGCGCGCCCCCGCACATGTGTCAGGTACCCCGACTCAGGGAGAAGGAGCGCTTCATATCTTTCGCCTGCGGCATTGGCCGCAGCTACGCCTTGGCCCGATGCAGGTCCGACCTGGGGTATTGTTTCTCGCTCCGACTGGCGGTGCTGGTGTCCCGCAGCCAGCCCTGGTACCCGAGCTTTGGGGTACCGCCAGCCAGGCGAGGCATGCCATCCTTTTCACTGCAGAGTGCTGTTTTGGCGCAACCTCTTTGCTGGGAACGCGGGTGGAATTTGGACTGCTTTGTCCACCCTGACTGCTGCCCAGATCCACCTCTCCACCTCCCCGCCACAGGCGGCGGAGGAACGGGGTGAAGTGGCCAGGTGTGCAACGCCACATCAAGGCCCAACTGAGCACTGTGCGTGTGTGCGTGCGTGTGTGGTCCTGCACGCGTGTCAGGCACCCCGCCTCAGGGGGAAGGAGCGCTGCACACTCCGGCAGTGGCTCTGCCCCACTTTCTCTCCCACCCCCCACGATCGTGGGCGGTGACGGTACGGTGCTGCTGAGGCTTGGTGTGCAAAGCTATACCAGGCCCCAGCACCGCATTCAGCGTCGGCAGCGCACTGCCGTCTCAGCGGCACTCATGGCCGCTGTGGAGTACAACTGGTGGCCCAGTGTCACGAGGTTTCGGGTTAGGGTCGGGTCGGCCAACCCTTAGCCTCCCCATTAGCCAAGGGCCCCCTCCTCCTCCTCCCCCTCCTCCTCCTCCTCCTCCTCCCCCGCCGCCTCATTTCCTGTTCCTTATGAGTCACTTCTCCCTGTCGCACCCCGAGGCAAATTTTTATGGCGGGCCGTGCGTTCTGCCTGAGACTTCCTCACCACTAATGACTCTGAAGCTTAAAGCGGCGACAACAGTTTCACAAATGGAGGGCGGGTGGTTTTCAACATGTGGTTCTCGCCCTAACGCCGCGCACATTCGTTCTAAAGCTTTGCAGGATGTTCACGGATTGAGGGCGGGTTCTTTTCAAAATGTGGCTCTCGCCTGAGCGCCGCGCACACTCGTTATAAAACTTTGCAACCGTTTCACGGATTCCTTTGACCAGCGTGCCAGAAATGGTGTTTTGAAACGATTCAGAATTATCCGGGTGCAACTGCTATGTTGATTTGCGGTACCGAAGACCCAAGATTTGCGCTTTGGCAAGATACCGGATCGTCAAGACGCAGCATTCAGGTCGATCCGTGGCGTCAAGATCCCGAGAACAATGCATTTTGGCATGCTTCAGGATCTTCCAACCTTGTCTTCCAACGAAGCAGTTCATTCCCTCAACGGACATGAACCGCTTTAGGGACCTATGACGAGGGAATTTGGAGGGAGGGTTAATTCCAACATCGTTGATGACTCCTGGATTTACACAGGTCCTCCTCCTCCTCCTCCTCCTCCTCCTCCTCCTCCTCCTCCTCCAGCTTTGGCTCAAGCATGTCGGCCCGGGTGGCCGACTCATGAGCAGGCGGCCAGGGGCGCGCGCGCGGCAGACGAGGTGCTCATAGGAACCCCCCACGCCTCGCACCCGGGAAAAGACGTGGTGATTGTGCAGGCCCTGCGCACCACCCACTGCTCGGTGATCCTCCTC